AGGGTATTTAAAATATAGAAAATTCAAAGGAAACACTGAATGGAAAATATTCCAAAATAAAGTTAAGCTAAAAAGAAGATATGTACACTGTTTTCTAAGTCTCAATTTATGTACACTGTGATCTAAATCTCAATTTGTAAATATGAGAAATAAAAAAATTAATATAAGTTAATTTCCTAATTATGAGATATTCCTGTGACTTTGAAATTTTTTTTCCATAATGAAGCCGTATTACTTTTGTATCTTCAAGAAAAATATTAACATTACTTATTTAGATAATAAAACTGTTATGAAGACATTTTTGTAAACATGTATTATTAATTTTTTGTTTCAATGAAAATCAGTCTGACTCCTCAGAAAATATCGTCTAGATTTTTCGTTTCTCAAAAGCTCGAGTACTTGTTTCCCTGTACAAGCACTCTCCCTGCTGGTGACACAGAGAGTATCCTTGTTCTGACATTTCTGAAGTCACTGAATATTTCTACAAGTACTAGCAAAGTTTCTACCTTAAAACTGAATGTCACCAATTAGACTACATAATATGACTTTGGGAGGGTGCTATTGTTTGTTAGTATGTGACAATTTCAAACAACAATTTGGTTCCTATAAAACAATAGCTAATTTATCATAAAAAATTAATTTATTCCTACTCATATAGTTACAGGAGCTCTGGTAGCGTAGTGGTTACGAATCGGGCTGCGAACCTTAAGGTCAGCGGTTCGAAACTACCAGCTGCTCCACGGGAGAAAGATGAGGCTTTCTACTCTCGTAAAGATTTACACCCTTGGAAACCCTGTACAGGGTCGCTATGGGTCGGACCCGACTCAATGGCACTTAACAACAACAACAACAACATATAGTTACAGGAAATCAAAGCCATATATATTTAAACCATATTTTCAGTGCTTGTATCCACACTCAACACTCACGGAAGTAGCAGTCAAGCAATTAAAAGATGTACTGCATTAGGTAAATCTGCTAAACAAGACCTCTTTCAAGTGTTCAAGAGAAAATATATTAGTTTGAGGACTAAGGTGCACCTGACCTACATTATGGTATTTTCAATTACCTCATATGGATATGAAAGCTGGACAATGAATAAGGAAAATCATAGAAGAATAGACACATTTGAATTATGGTATTGATAGAGAATACTACAATTATCACTCCCAGAAGAACAAACAAATCTCTTTTGGAAGAAGTGCAGCAAGAATGCTCCTGAGGAGCAAGGATGGCAGACTTCATCTTTCATACTTTGGATATGTTTTAAGGAAAGCCCAGTCCCTAGAAAAGGATATCATGCTTGGTAAAATGGACGGTCTCAAAAAGAGGAATATCCCCAATGAGATGGATTGTCCTATGGCAGCAACAATGGGCTCAAGTGTTTACAACTATTGGGAGGATGGCGCAGGACCAGGAATGTTCATTCTGTTGTGTATAGGGTTGCTATGACTTGGAACCTACTCACCTACTCAACAGCACTTAACAACAACAATAATCTATGTCTGTGATGTAACACTACCCTCATATAAAATGAGAATGACTAATTACCACGTTCAAAACTGAAATCCTCACTGTGGGATCTAATAAAGAATGCAACAACAACAAAACTTTACAATACTTAGTTTGAAATGAATATATTTAAGAGAACACTGAGATGTTTTTTTCAACATAATAAGCTTCGAACATTCATAAAACTTATAAATTCTCCTGGTGGTAGAAAAGAAGCTGAGCAAGAGGAGGCTATACGAGGAAGAGAGAAGAAGAGTAAAGTCGTGATATTACAAAAGTAGATATTACAGAGTCTACTTGGGAATGCCAAGTTAATTTTGCATTTGGCTCCAGTGTAGGGCATATTGAAATAGCTCAAGATGAAGTTAGAAAAGTAGGGTAGGATCATATGGGGAAGGATTTGTTATGCCATGCTTGGGAGTTGGGACTTTGCTGTGAAGGAAATGGGCAAACCACTGAAGACTTTTAAACAAGGGAGAGATGTAGCTAGATCAGTTTGGGAAAGACAGCAGAATGCAGGGCAATAAGAGTGAGAGGTTGGGAGACAGGAGACCAAGGCATCAAGTATATTTGAAAAAGCTTTAAGTTGGACAAAAACAGCGGGATGTAATGAAGTAATCTTCTAAAGACACTCCAAGAGGCAAAACTGACAGATATTAATTCGGTGAGTAAAGGTTTAAAAATCTTGCTAGTATCGGTGGATGCCTATGCCCTGGTGTAGTGCTATATGACAAGCAATGAATTTCTAACCACAGGTTGGTGGTTGAAACTCACCAGTGACTCCTCAAAAACCTTATACAGTCACTATGAGTCAGAACCCAATCTACAGCACTTAACAACATTTTTAAGGAGTGTTGGTGTGGTGCTGTGGGATAAACACTGGACTGCTAACCACAAGGTTAGTGATTCAAACCCACCAGTCACTCCCTGGAAACTCTATATAGGGTCACTATGAGTCAGAACAGACTTAACAATAACAATAACAATAACAACATCTTTAAGACTAATATTAGAGTTTAAGCACTCTAAGTGCACGGTGCCTTTTGAAATCCAGTTAGCAAGATACACTAAGTAGTGGAGACGTAAGATAGCAGAATGTATGTTTAGGGGAGAGGGGAAACATAAATAAATAAAAGGAATAAAGATTAAGGCTTTTTTTTACTTATGGAATGAAATCTCATTATATAGGCAAGCCTAGGATATACTGTGATTTCAGTTACAAACACCACTGCAATAAAAATATATTGCAATAAAGTGAGCCACATGGAAATTTTAAAGTGCCAGTGCATATAAAAGCTATGTTTATATTATACTGTAGTGTATTAAGTGTGCAACAGCATAAAGTTTAAAATACTGTGATAAGTAACCAAAATCTGACACAGACACAGGAAGCAAGCACAAGCTTCTGGAAAATATGGTGCCAATAGACTTGCTTGACACAAGGTTGCCAAGAACCTTAAATCTGTAAAAAATGCAGTATCTGTGAAGTGCGATAAAGTGAAGTATAACAAAATAAGGAATGTCTTATTAGATTTATTCCTTGTTAGAGTAATTTATGTTAATAGGCAGCAAAATGATGGAAATTTGAATTGAACAATAGGTCACTTAGAAAATAAACTTTCCAACGAATTATACCCATGCTACAGGAAAGAGTCCTGGTGTGATGCTGTGGGTTAATGTGCTGGACTGCAAATTCACTTTGAATCACAGGGTCAGCAGATCAAGCTCACCATCTGCTCCTCGAAAGTCCTATACAGGGTTGCTATGGGTCAGAATTGACTTGATGGCACTTAACAACAAAAACAACAATCTACAGGATGTTAATTCTGTAGGGTATAATGCTTAATTTAGACTACTAACTAATCATAATCCGTTAAACAAGACATTTATTACCAAGCATACAAAAATATTTTATTAGTAAGTATGCAATGTAGTAAAGATAGTTTTTAAGGCTTTAATATATATATATATTTACATATTTCACTTGAAGCAAATACATATATTTCATTTGAAGCAAAGTCAACAAATTTTAAAGACAAATTTTTAAGATAAAAATACATGAGCATTAATAATGAAAACCAGTGATAACAGTGATTATTAATAACTATAATTAGTATAAATTCACACTTATAGTGTATCTCCAAAGAGATTTTATTTGATCTCTATAACATGTTCATGAGGTAGGCTGGATGGAGCTGGTAGTAATAACAATATAATGTTATGTGCCGTGGAGTCGGAACCGACTCATAGCGACCCTGTACAGGGTTTCCGAGGGTGTAAATCTTTACGGGAGTAGAAAGCCTCATCTTTCTCCCGCGGAGCAGCTGGTAGTTTCG